GTCGACTAATCGAAAAAATAATCGGTGATTAATCGATTGTAAAAATAATCGTTTGTGGCAGCCCTAATACTAACTCACCAAATTGTTACCAAATATCAACAAATGTGACTTAAGTTACAGCCATTTTTGTGTTTTTAAGGTTAGTTGTTTTTGTGGCCATCTTAAGACATCACCTCCAAAAGTAAATCAGTTCCAGGTACATTCAATGACTCATCAAGTGGTTCATGAGATATTTTGCTAACAGACAAACTGTGGTACGATAAGCTCATTTCGATAAAACAATGTCGTGAGGCTTCTTCAATAGTAATATATGTTAAATAATAATTTGAACAGTACTGTAGTTGGTGGTTAGCACTGTTGTCTCACAGCAAGAAGGTCCTGGGTTCAAAGCCCCCTGGTTGATTCTGGGGTCTTTCTGTGTGGAGTTTGCATGTTTTCCTGTTTGTGTGAGTTTTCTCCAAATACTCCAGTTTCCTTTCACAATAAAAAAAAACAAAAAACCAAAACATGTATTTAGGCTGCCTTCAGGAACCCCCTTGAAAATAGGTCTGTGATCTTCCTGGGTTAAATAAAGGTTATTTAAAATAATAAAGAGATATGTTCTGTAGCTTTAGAGACACATAGTGGCATGTTTTTACTTTGTGTTTGAAAGGCAACTGTTTAAACTTCCTTGAAGCATTCCTGGGTCACACCTACCGACACTAAACGCTGGTGGATCAAAGAAGCGAACTGTAGCTGCTGGAACATCAATCAACAAACTGGAGCAAACTGTAACTGTTGGGTTGAGTCACCAAGATGCCGCAGCGGTCGGTCAGGTTTTACCTGAATGGATGCTTCAGCTCATGTCATTGATCCAGTCCGTCTTGTTGAGCAGCATCGCTCCTCCTGCTGTGATGCTTTCTTGTTGGGACCCGGCGTCATTCAGGTTGGGTTCACGCTGCTGGAAATCATCAGATTTTTTTCTTTGTTTTTGTTGTCCATATTAGGCTTTATTACTCCATGCTCTTTGACGTCCTCTGTAATGTCGGGCTGAAAGGTACTAACCATTGATGACTATTGGACAGAACATAACAGCTAAGTCAGAGGTGCCCAAAGTGGAGCCTGTGGGCCAAAAGTGGTCGCCAAGCCATTTGATTTGGCCCACCAGCAGTCTTCCTGGTTACTAGATTGTAATCTCCTGCCTTATGTAGAAACACTATATTTCCACTTAGTCTTTTCAACCACTGGTCCAACTATACATACAAGGAGCTGTAGTCAGATAGTCTTAACTCATGGTACTCACTTTACCTTTGAATTATGTTAANTCACTTTACCTTTGAATTATGTTAAGATTAAGTATAAAATACAAGAGACATTTATATACACTATTTCCACTTAGTCTTTTCAACCATTGGTCCAACTATACATACAAGGAGCTGTAGTCAGATAGTCTTAACTCATGGTACTCACTTTACCTTTGAATTATGTTAAGATTAAATATAAAATACAAGTAACTTCAAGAGACATTTGTATTAGATTTAAGCCCATATCTAGATTTGCACACCTTTTATAAGACAACATATACTCAAATTTTCAATTATGAAAAATTTCATGAGCCTTTTCTGCCCGAGCAAATGTGGGATATTCTCCATGTCTACGGGCTGAAAAAAACGAATGTAATGCGACATGACATGAATACAGTTTGTAAT